CTTACCTTGTGCGTTTCACTATTTGTAACGTGGCTCCTCTGCTTCAGTTTTCGTTCTATCTCTCTGGCAGGGGCAGCCACCACCTGTCTGGTGGGTGCCAGCATCCTCCGGCAGTTGCGCTGGGACTCTATGATACATTCTTGTTCTTCGATAATTAGAAATCTGCCTTTCTAGTTCTTCGCTGTTTGAATTATTATGTATTTGTGCTGTTTCTTGCGCCACTCGCTTTTGTGTAGATTTGACCTTTTTTGCATGTCCGCGTGAGTACAGATGACATTGTTGTTGTTGTTTCTTTATTTTACTTCACCATATGAACAGGCAAGACTGCCTTCTCACCGGGGCTGTTGGCCCACGGCTCTCACAATATGATGAAAATGTTTAAAATGTGTATGAAGAAGAAAGGAACGGAAAAGAAGATGAAATGAAAGGAAAGAAAACAGTAGGTATTAATTTTATGAAGGGGGGGGGGGGGGCGGTATGAAATGGGTATTATCATAGTTGATGAGAGAAGTATGATATACAATATTCTTGTTCTATAGACTATTTAGTACGGGCATTTCATGAGAGTCATGCATGGGCAAGGCAGGATTTGGACTAGGATAGAGGACAAGAACATAATTGATGAGCATCTGTTCAGGCAGAATCTGTGAAGGTGACATAGTAGGCACAACATCGGAGAGCTAGTTTACGAGGGAGATTAGGTCATAGCCAGACAGCAATGCTTGAAACGTGTGGCGTACGTCGCAAGCGCGAATATCAGCAGGGAGAGAGTTCCATGTGGTACTGCCAACAAAGGCGATAGAGCTACGGCCTGAGGGACCAGGTAGGAACGGCACTCTGAGCAGCTGGCTGACCTGACCACGCGTGACACAACTTCTGTCCACATCCGTGGCAATGAGGGAGTAGTAGGATTGGAACAGTGAGCTGGCTCTGCCATGAAGGCAGCGGAAGACGAAGAGAAGCAGACGTTGCACGTACAGCTGGTGGAGCTGAGGCATTGATAGTCTGGCAAATAGGGGAGCAGTGGGGGTCCTTCTGGGGAGTTGGAAGATGGCTCGTATGCCAGACTTAGCAATGCGTAGCAGTCGATGTAGCAGCAGTTTGGATAGAGCAGAAAAGAAACAGTTTGAGGCATAGCAGAGAACAGACTGGATCATACTCATGTACCAGGCCCTGCGGGCATTGAGTGAAAGGCACCGTCCATGGCGCCAGAGCTGCCCGATTGTATTAGCAGTCTTGCTGGCAATAAAGTCCACTTGGGGCTTCCAGGACAGTTGGTCATCAAGCATGACACCGAGATACTTCGTGACTGGAGTAACATCAAGCACTGTGGTACCACACTTCACTTCAGATGGTCCATCCAGACACCCACGGGGTCTCACAAACATAACTTGGGTTTTACTGGCATTTAATAGCAGACCAATGTTGTCCAAGTACTCAGCGAGTCGTGTTACAGCGTTAGAGAGAACAGAGCACACTAAATCAGGCTGATAGTCGGAGTAGTCCAGAGCCACATCATCAGCGAATTCCTCACATCATGCATTATTATTTTATTTTCTGTCACATGTTTTGCTTTGCGCGTGTCGTTCAAGATGTTTGAACTACGCCCGCTGACCGATTTTCTTTGCTTGCTGTTTTCTTTGCCAATCAAGCGAGGGGACGCTACGGTGTCATCCTCCTTGGCTGTGTGTCCGGTACGAGGCCGGGTACGTGCGTCCCCAGCTCTCCGTTCTTTGTTCTTTTTGAGTTAGATTCTTCAATGGTGTTTTGAGAACATGTTTGGTAATACAGTCTTCTAAATAGATCGATGCCTCCAATGGTTGTGTCTAATGTCAGTGTGCGTTTGCGAGGGAACCGGTGAAACATTTGGTCCTTTGAGCCGGATCCGACAGGTTTCGACTGGTAGTGTCAGCGATGGTAATGGCGTTTCCGCCACCACTAGAGTTTGTGACTAGTAGTTTTACGCCACGCTATTATGGTACGAGCGTGGGTGAAACTCCTGTTGAGGAACTTGAGGACCGCTGGAAAGAATTGATTCGTCGCAGAACAAACTTTCGTAGACGCCGCACGCGGATTAGTAACCGATTGCAAACACTGATTGCTTGCTCCTCGCCGCCTCGCCGATATTTGCAGCCTGATGTCCGTGAATTGGAATTTGTACGGTCAGAGATGAATTTGGTTTTAGAATTATGCGCAGTATGTTGGGATCCCAAGAGAGTGAACAACTGCTGAATGAGTTGGACGAGTGGGAGACGAAGTTTGATAAGGAGAGTGTTGGTGAAAGGCTGCTGCTGAGGCGATTTTGGATTCGCCTGTTGAGTCTGTTTCTGGCCAAGTGGCATCAGGCCAACAATCAGCAGTCGCAGAACAGGTTACCCCTGTGCCACCATTTACACCACCGCACATGCGGCCTGTGCCACTGATCCCAGCACCACACACACGGCCGACACCACCACCGAAGCCACGGAGTCTGAGCAGCAGAGCAACGTCAGTTGGCTATAGTGCTCCAATGAGTAGACTTTCTGAGTGGTCTCCTCATCCGGAACCTGCAGTGGAGCCCCATGTGCATGATTAGCTTGTCAGTATGCAACGCCCGCATGGGGTCAGTGCTTTACACCACTTAAAGCCGCTGGAGCTGCCCAAGTTTAGCGGAAAACGCGCAACAGTTTGTGCGGTGGAGTGAATCGTTCAAGCGGCTGGTGGATGAGGATCGCTACGTATCCGACGATTATAAGCTGGCTAGGCTAAAGGAGGCGCTCCAAGGAAGGTCTGTTGAGGACATTGTGGGCCAGATGTTTGATGGGCCAGGCGCATACGCTGCTGCTTGGGCAGAACTTGACCAATGGTATAGGGGAGAAGACCGCCACCTGGCACTACAGGAGAAGGCAATCCGGAACCATCCCAGAATCACAGACCGTGATCTAGAAGCCCTGCGGAAATTTGCTGTCAAGCTCAGAAATGTGCTCATGAATCTGGACTTGGCAGGAGGGAGCTATTCCTAAGTGCGCTGGAGAAGCTACCCAGAAGTGTAGTTATACGCTTTTACGAACCACATCCAGACAGCAAATGCAACGCAACCACATTGTTGTTCTGGCTGGTAAAACGGGTCCAGAACGCGAGCCGATGACATCAGGGCGCTGACAACCAAGTGCCGCTGGGACCTGGTCAAGCGTGCCAAGCTGTGTAGCTGTTGTTTGGAGCATGGACACTGGGCGTGTGAGTGCCAGAAGCTGGAACGTTCCCACTGTGGAGAGAGGCACCACTCACTTCGGCACTACAGCAAGTCAGTGCAGCCACAACAAGCTGCAGTGCAGAATCCCGCTACGATGCGGCCAGCAGCTCCGGCACCTCGGCAGGAAAGTTCTCACCCTGCTAGTGTCAGCGTGCCACAGACTACCGCTTTCGCTACCGTGCCAGTGAAGATTATTGGCCCAACTGGCAAGTCGGCAATCTGTACGGCCATGCTGGACTCAGGCTCGACTGTAAACTTCATACGGGAGGATGTAGCCCATGAGTTGGACATGGCAGGTGAAGTTCACATGTTGAACACATCCACGATTGGTGCACAGCAGACCTCCAGCTATCAGGAACTGGTCAATGTGCAGATGGAATCCATTGATGGAACAGTGTCATACCCGCTCAAGGCATGCGTATATGACCGTGTGACCAAGAAGACGCAGGTCGTCGACTGGAGCCGGTACAAGTCCAGCTATGAGCATCTGAAGTTCATAGACTTTCCCGAAATCTCCAGCACCATGGTCGACCTCCTGATCAGTCTGGACGTCATTGATGCCCACGCATCACTCGCGGAGTACAGAAGCAGCAGCGGTGGACCAATTGCCCGCAAGACGCCACTGGGATGGGTGTGTATGGCCCAAAGCCCAGTGCACCCAGTGATGACGAGTTGTCCGTCAACTATGTGCATGTTTTATACGGCGAATGCAGCATAGACAGCCTGGTCCAGAATTTCTGTAATCTGGCGGCAGTCGGTATGAAGCACGAAGGCACCTACATCACCTCTGCAGAGAAGCTGGCTGAGGAGATCGTTGCGAAATCCATCAGCTTCCATGATCAGCGAGTCACCATGGCAGTCCCATGGATCCACAGCAATGGCGAGCCTAGTGTCACCGCTAATCGCGCCATGGCAGACCATCGTCTGTGAATGCTAGGGAAATCGCTGGACAAGCGTCCAGAGCTGAAGGCAGCATACGGCAAAGTCATATGTAGCCACATTGACAAAGGCTATGTGCGCGCAGTGTCGGCAACAGAGGTTGAGGCAGATGGCGACGACCAGTGGTTCCTGCTGCATTTCGCCATTGTACGAGGTGACAAGGGCACCACGAAGGTACGTGTCATCTTTGATGCTGCTGCCAAGTATGACGGCACGTCGATCAATGAGTGCATGTACGCTCGACCCGCTCTGCAGAATGACCTAGTGAAAGTGCTTCTGCGGTTCCCCAAGGAGCCAGTAGTGCTCACGGCGGACATTACCGAGATGTTCCTGCAAGTCGTGCTGGCTGAGCAAGACCGCCGATATTATCGCTTTGTGTGGGACTCACGCGTATACGAGTTCGAGAGGTTGGTGTTCGGCATCAAGGCGTCTCCGTACCTGGCATGCAAGGCGCTACAAGTGGTGTGCCGCGAACCAGCCGACGAGTATGACCCAGCCATGTTGCAGATCGTTGACCGAGACATGTACGTGGATGATGTGCTGCACTCTGCTGTCTCCATACCGGAAGCCATCCGCACACAGCAGACAGTACAGGACATCCTTGAGCAGGGCAGCTTCCACCTCCGCAAGTGGCTCAGCAATAGCTCGGAGGTGATGGCTGGCGTACTGGAAGCTGACCGCTTACAGCAGCTCATAGCTAGCATCAATGATCATGATCACTGTGTGCTACCGTCAGTCAAGATGCTAGGCGGCAGAGGATGATACCTTTGCCTTTGAGTTCAAGCCGCCTGCAACAGAGAAGCTGACCAAGCGAGCCGTGCTGAGTAAGATGGCATCTATATTCGACCGACGCGGACAACTAGCTCCCTTCACGATTCGCTCTCGTGTCATGTTCCAGGAGCTGTGCATCCTCGGGGTGGGCTGGGATGATCCACTGGACGCTGAGCACACGCGGAGATGGACATCCTGCTTTAGCGAGCTGGGAGATCTGGCGCTGATCCGTGCGCCGCGCTGCTTCAAGTGTCCGGGTCGCGAGTCGTCTGTCGCTACATTGTCGCTGCACGTGTTCACGGATGCTTCAGATGCCGCCTACACCGCTAACGTGTACGTCCGTGCTGAGTACCCAGATGGCAATGTGCGAGTGACGCTAGCACTCGCCAAGGCGCGTCCATGTCCCATTAAGAAGATGTCGATCCCGAAGCTGGAGCTGAAGGGTGCTATGCTTGGTGTTTGCCTGGCCCAGACAGTGAATGACGAGCTAGATCTGCCGAAGGCTGATGCCACCAACTGGTCCGACTCGATGAACGTGCTTCACTGGGTGAGAGCACATTCCAGAAAGTTTAAAATCGACGTGGGCAACCGGATAGCTGAAGTACAAGAGTATTTAGCTGGCAACCACGTTCTTGGAAAGCTGAACCCAGCCGACAAGAGCACCAGAGGCTTGACAGTAGCCAAGCTAGCCAGTGATTCAGTATGGTGGAGCGGCCCTGAGTTCCTCGTCCAGCAGCACAATGAGTGGCCGTCTCGTCAGATAACCGTGCCAAAAGAGTTGCCCGGAATGGTAAAGCGAGCGCAAGTGATGGCGTTCGCTGTGCAGCAAGTTTCAACGGAGGTGTTTCGTCTCCACCCCGTCAACTACTCGTCATGGAAACGGCCTTTAGCTACCGTTTCATCAACCCCTGTTGTCGACGTCATGCTAGCACGAGAGGGGATCCGGAAGCAGCAAGTACAGCAGCCGACTCTGTGGAGCTGAAGTCTGAGGAGCTCCAGCGTGCCGAATGTCACTGGTATGCGATTGCACAAGCAGAGAGCTATCCCGCTTCGTATCGGCAGCTGACGTCAGGGAAGTCCCTTGCAGCGAATGACCCGCTGCTACGGCTGAATCCAGTGCTCCACAAGGACTACCCGTGTGTACTACGCGTTGGAGGTCGTCTGAAGACTGCCAGCCACTTGCCTGAGCATACCCGGCATCCGATAATCTTGCCCCAGCACCATCGCATTACTCAGCTGATAGTCGACGCCGAAGATCGCAAGTGTGATCACAGTGTGGGCCCAAACCACCTCTTGGCAAACCTGATGCTGCGGTTGTGGATCATCCGTGGCAAGGTTGTCACACGATCTCACCGTGCCCACTGCGTGCTCTGCAAGAAGAAGTGGGCCACTGTGGCTTTGCAGCAGATAGCACCGCTCCCGCTATTCCGAACAGCTCCACCGTGCCGGGCATTTTCAAGAGTGGGAGTTGACTATGCCGGTCCGTTCCGGACAAAACAAGGATGTGGCAAGACCCAGCTCAAGAGGTACCTCTGTGTCTTCTCTTGTTTGCAATCCTGAGCCTGTCATTTCTAGATGGCGTGTGGCCTGGACACCGAGTCGTTTCTGCTAGCATTCACCCGTTTCTGCAAGCGCAGAGGCGTGCCAGCTGAGGTCGTGCCAGATAACGGGACGAACTTTCTCGGTGCAGAGCGCGAGCTAAGAGAAGCTGATCAAGCGCTAGGTTCTAATGAAGTGGCCGCAAGTATGGCCAGCCAAGGAGCTCACTGGCACTTCAATCCATCTCTCGCCCCGCACTTTGGCGGCGTATTTGAGTGTGTGTGGTCAAGGCAGCAAAGCGCGCAATGATGGCAACTCTGTAACAGGCCAATCTCACTGATGAGGAACTTGTAACTGCCATTGTGAGTGCGAAAGGCCTACTCAACTCGCACCCGTTGACCGCTGTCCGGATTGACGTGGATGATGCCGCACCGCTAACACCGATGCACTTCCTAGATGGACAGTGCGAGCTGACTCTGCCACTCGAAGAAGTCGCTGAGTTGCACCCACAGCGTCGTTGGCGGCTCCTCCAACAGCTCATACGCGAGGTATGGCGGCGATGGCTTCGAGAAATAGTGCCTCGGCTGAATGTGCTTCAGCAATGGTCTCGACGCAGCCGCAACATCAAGCCCGGTAACATTGTCCTCTGCATTGTGGCTTGTGGCTTGCCGCCAGTGACTATCCAGATATGTTGATTTTATTGTATGCTTTTCTCATAGGTTTGACAGATTGGTGTCGTAGTGTATTCCAGTCGGCTCCGCTCGAGCTTTGTTGCCGTCGTGAATGAAATTACTTGTTTCTGTACTCCAAGCATCCTCTATAATATAATGGATATTGTCTCTCCCTTTCTCTTCCTCCGGCACGCACCAAATAATTCGGTAACCAGAGTAGCGCCGCCAACCATGCCCGATTTGTAGAGTGTGGTATAAAGTGCTTTCTTAACTGTATCTGGTCAGGTGTAGTTGTACAATCGAATATGCTCCAGCTTGTAGTTATTGTGCTATTTCTTTACACCTCTACAGGCAATGTTTGAAATTCCAATACTTTTGCGGGGTAGGGTACTACACTAGTTCCGCTTCCAGTATATCCATTGTACAGCGTCGGTGCATTATTTGTGCGGCAGTGGATGAATCTACAAATTCGTGTAAGCGAAGCTATCTTTGTGAACGCGCGTATGGCACACTGTGTGCTGGTGGCATAACTGTGTTTCGGAATGAGTGTGCTCCGCATACTGTGCGGGCGGACAAGTCCTGTTGTATCTGTCTTACCGAACGCATTGTGCGTTGTGCTATGTTACAACGGTCTTGCCTGATGAGTGCATTGTGCACTGAGTGTCGGCGATATTCCTGGTGTAACTGTCCTAATTGACAAGCACATTATGCACTGTGTGGTAAAACTGTGTTTCTGGATGAGTGTAGAGGGGACGGTTTCAAATAGGACACCGGTTGCAAACCGGAACGGACTCAATATTCACTTTCTCTCTTGGTATTTTGATTAGAAAACATATGTCACAGTGAGACTACGATGTGTTATACTCCGAGCCAAAATTTCATGGCTCTGCGATGACCAGAAGCGCCATATCAAGCAGGTGAGTTTTTGACGTGTTGCTTCGCACTGCGACTTGAGTTTTACGACTTTCGAAAAATCAACTTCTTGTCGCAGGTAAACAGCGGCTCGCTTCTCGCCAATAAAGCACCGCATACCAATCAAAACTAATGGAAGCACACACAAGGCTTATTGTTACTCTGTACTGGCCGTCGTGGAGCGATAGCAATTACCTAATTTCAGACCCAGAGTGAATTTGACGTGCACTCTAAAACGTGTCCGGTTTGGAGCCACCTCTGATTTGAACTTTTTTGAAGCGAAAAATTGGGCAACTTGGAGGCAATGGGTCAACACAAAGGTAGGCTCAGTTCGATTGACTCTGGCCCCAGAGCAAACTTCAACATGCCAGTTTCCTTCCACAAACATATTTCGAGTGAAAAATCAACGCTGATGATCGGTTTGGGTCTATACAAATTTGGCTGTCAAAAACGTCCCGGTATCGAGCCGTCTCCTCTACTTCCTATAGTGTGTTGGTCAACATGTCCTGTTGTATCTGTCTCACTGGATGAACGCATCGTGCGTTGTGCTATGCCAGAACTGTCTTACTTAAAGGGGAAGTTAAGGCAAAAATTAAAATTTCACCAGTTGTAGTCTTCGGGGTGCTGAGTCGAATGGTCTTGGTCCGAGAAAGCTGAGACGCTCCCTTCCTACTTGAATCCCAATCGAACTGGCGCACTTCCATCGAAACTGGGTGACTGCGCCCTACGGGATGGGGATTTGTATGCAAAATGTCACTAAAAGCGCCATTTCGTTCTTATAAAAGCACGGATGACCGCGATTGGCCCATATGTTGTAGTCCTTTGGACGCTGAGTCGACTGGTTTTGGTCCGAAAAGGCTGTGATGCAGCGTTCCTCCTTTATTCCCAATCGAACATGGTTGAAGAAGCGGTCACGTGCTCCTGGGTGCCAAAATCACCTGGTCACCACGCCAGCAGGCGACAACTTTCACACCAAGTTTCGACTCGAGTGACAGGACTGCACCCGAAAAAGGTCAAAACAGGCTGTAAGTTGTACCCTGCAGGCAGCCGGTGACCAGGTGACTGGTGTACGCAGGAGCACGTGACCGCTTGTTCAACCATGTTCGATTGGGAATTAGGGGCTGCTGTTCTGTGTACTTTTAATGCTTGTTCTTTCTCCTTTCTCTTCTCTACTCCCTGCTTTAGAGTACTTCAGGGGTTGGCTATGGGAGGATTGATTCTGTTCATCCCAAACTGAACCGATATATCTGCTATCTGTGATCTTTATAGTCGCCACTTGCTGTTCAGTCAGGTTTGAGAATCAGATGCCTTGTTCATGTGCACTGCGTGGAAGTATCACTATCACCTACCTGTTATTACAGTGCGGCCAGCAATGCTCAGCTCTTCACCGAAGCAGCCACTATCATTCGATATGGTCAAGTCTTGGCTGGCCAGTTCCTGACACCTGAACTACTATAGACACCCTACATGCTGTCACACTCAATTTGGTGGGTTGTTCCTCATCACTGAACTGGGACGTACTGCACCAGATCAGGGTGCTAGCTCCTTGGACTATGAGCAACTTTGTGTACGTCATATCCTACTTGTTTTTGTCATGTATTCTCTCTGTCAGTCTCCCTGTTTTGTTTGCATCTCTCTGCCTTCTTCCTCGTTGTCGCCGCGCTTTGCTTTTTCTGAGTCACATCTGGCTGCGGCCAACTACTCTTCACTTTGTGTGTTGTCGCTATTGCTGTCTATGTCTCTGTGTATGCCAGTATGCGTGGAGCGAGAATCTAGAAGTTAATGGAAGAGGGAACAGAGTTAGAGCATTTTCGTCTTTTGTCTTTAGTTCGTAGCCTATCCATTGCCCACTCCCAGCGAGTAAAGTGCAGGTGGGCATTGACCTTCTCTTTGAACATCTGCAATTCTTTCCTTGTTCACGGGTTCAGCAGAACACACTGCGGGAGCTGGTTCCAGACCTCCACAACATGCTGAGGGAAGGACGAAAGTACATCATTCCGTTCATTCCGATCCAAGTGAACAGGCGTCCAGTGCGACTGTTGGCGCAACGGAACGCCTGCCGGCTGGTTGCCCTGTGCGACACTCTCGTGCGCTGTGTCCGGAGACGTTGCAGGTGCTGCATTCGTGAGAGAGAGTGTTACATGCATGTTAACTACAGTTAATACTACGCCTAAACTGAGATTTTAAACTCATTGGTTGTGATTCGGGTGGAAACCCGCTAGAGGCTACCCTGCGTAAGGGCCTCGAAGTTGGAGAAGATTGTGTCACCATCAACCATTGTGATCAGCCATGCCAATGATGAAGAGGAAGTGGTCAACATTGACCTTACGAAGCTAGACTCAGCTCCTGTATTTCCGGACACTGCGGATGTCCACAACGCTCAGCCGAGCCCTGCCGAGAGTGACAGTGAGAGTGACAATAGTGATAGTGGAGCCTTCAGCCTGAAATTTGACGGCGGAGACAGTGACTCAGTCCCACTGTGATATTGTTCCTGAGTAGTGGCGTCTGAAAGGAGAGGTGTAATAGATTGACTAAGTAACTGTCGACCCCACCTCATCTCTCTCTCTCTCTCTCTCTCTCTCTCTCTCTCTCTCTCTCTCTCTCTCTCTCTCTCTCTCTCTCTCTCTCTCTCTCTCTCTCTCTCTCTCTCTCTCTCTCTCTCTCTCTCTCTCTCTCTCTCTCTCTCTCTGTATCTCTCTCTCTATTCCTTTCTTGATATCAAACACATTAACTGTTGATCACTACGTATCAATTATTGTTAAGCTTTGTATTATTAATTCGCGCTGTGTTCGTGACGTTCTTCCTTTTTCCAGTACTATTGTGCGCGCACATGATGACATAGTTCGCCATTTTGTCCGTGTCATGTTGGTGCGCAGGCCTTTATCCTTTTTCTCTAGCTCTTTTAGTTTTATATATAGAGGCCGAGTTTTCCGCATCTGTAGGAACGCCACCACCCTTCAAGGATCAAGGCGCAGATGCAGCTCCTAAAGAGTCTGAAGCGAACCGAATTTTTTAAATATTTTTTAAAAGTTTTATTTCTTCTTGTGCAAAACCAAGTAACTAGTCCAATGTCGAGTGGACTGTGAGTGTTGCATGTTGGCCAGTGTAGACAGGGTAGTTCACAACAACACCAAACATAATGACATCTTGCATGCGCATGAATGCTTCATTTGCATTACAATACAAGTGTCTCAAAGCAGCACACTATTCCCCAAAAGGTCGTTATTGTCTGTGATAGGTTCGAAGGCATGAGGAATAGGGTAAGAACTTAATATACAAGAAGACACAAAAATACGCCCAACCCTCTGCTGCCACCAAGAGGCAATTCAAAAGCACAGCACGGATGCCTGCAATGAACAAAAAACTGGTGCAACATTGGCATACCCGAGTGTTCTCCCCATGTGGGTTGGTAGATTGGTTTTGTTCAGGACAAGAAAG